TATATATATATATATATATAGATAGATAGAGAGAGAGAGAGAGAAAGAGAGAGATAATGCTTGTTGCCACACCATTATTGGAATCTATGGGCATGGTTTGACTACATACAGTATAGGGTAAATCCTGATTTACCTTCTTTATTCTTTGGCCAATGACACCAGTGGATTCTACTAATATTGCTTCTGGTTGAATCTGAAGAAGCTGTAACAAGCAATAATGACAAAGTCACAAAGGCTGTGAAGTCTATTTCGTGCAAGTAAGATGAAGCATAAAAGAAACATTGCACACTCACCTTGGCCAAGGCAGCTGCACATTCTATTACATCCTGGTAACCTGCATCACCCTGGATTATGTAGGAAACATTACATCATCTTAGCAACCAATATCACTTTAAATGATTTAAAAAAAACAACATCAAGTTGAGGTAAAAAGTTATTATGATGTGCATATCAACTTGCCATCCTTTAATTGAAAAAGATGCAGATAAACATCCAAGGCAGATCACTATTTTTTCTTTCTTTTGGCACAAGTATGCAAATTTCTAAGAAATGACAGACCTAACTGCTGCATAAGGAGAAAACAAGGAACTCAATTTCAAAATATGTGGCATGCAGATATCAAAAGCTTACCGTTGCAGCATTTGCCTGGCCAGCATTTATTAGAACTGCACGTGCCTGAAATAACTAGCGGTCTCAAAACCTTTTCCACATGTAGTAAACCGACAAGATAAACTTTATAAACAGATACAACAACTACCAAGCATCACAGATCCAATTTGCTATTGTCATATGGAAAAAGTTCATATAAGTGTGAGGCTCTAAACAATCAAATTAGGGCGCACCTTAAAAATTTCACTAGAAGAGGTTGTTTTGATGCCCAAATATCCTAAAATTGATCTTGACCTCAAGATGCATGGACATGAGAAAAAAAATGGATTTCAAATTTTGGAAATAGTGCAACTTGTAATGCATTTTTGGACTGTCAATTTTCAAGATTTTCAAGTTTACATAGATCTGCTCGATCTACACTATTTTTTAAGCTTTAAATTTTATAATTAGAGATGAAAATATATTTTCAGGCTATCCCAAAATTTTCCAGTTTTGAAACCACATTTCTTGACACTATTTGAAGGTGCGCTTTACTTTGATTGTTTATAGCCTTGGCTTTATACAAACCGCACCCTTGTCATATTGAAGAAAACAAAGACACATCAGCAGACCCCATGAATTTTGATTTAAAGAAAGAAAGCACATGAAGAAGTAAACCATTCTCTATGATCCAGTTTACAAACATTTCAAACAACTTCTCGGAGATGAGCCTATTTTAAAGTGTCAACATACTGCTGAAAAGTTGTCTAAGATGTGCCTGCAATAGAGTACTGGAGCAGCAGCCACAATGTTTGTAGTAAATGATCCTGATGAAGAAGCAAGAGAAACAGACTTCTTTTATAATGTATCCATCATAAGCATGAATATAATACTGTTTATATGTTTTTTTTGGTGGCAACAAGGTAAACCACCATAGTCCAATGGACAGACTGGCCACTGAAATGATCCATGGCAAGAGAGAGAGAGAATCCCACTCTCCTTCCATCTACGCCAACCGTGTTTCAGTAGGTGGTATGGACTCAAGTGGTGATGATTCTTTCATAGTCCATTGGATTATGGTATTACTTTCCCTTAGGGCATATTAGCAAAGTTGTCATGCTATTTCCTTCATTTAAGTTTAACGAAAAGACCACTCACCTGCTGCAACAGCATCCACATCGCATGTTACAAGAGCCAGATCAGGTTTCTCACCCTTTGCACGCAGTCCACCATACATGCCGGCTGCTCTGAATCCTTTTGGAGCAGTAACACCACCAAGGACCTATTCTTTTCATAATCTTTCAGTCACAGACAAATGCAGCAATAACAAGCCACAACTCTCAATAATGAAGAACAATTTTAATGTCCATTTTACAAGCATTCTGCTTGTCTGCGACTATGGACAATCAGCATTATTGTGCCTTTTAAAGAACTATATTTTAGTGCAATGGACTATGCAATACCAAGGTTGATTGGGGTTGTGTAGGATCAAATGATGGACATTAATAGACAAAGATTTGGACCCACCATTAGGGTTATGTCCCATCAGATGGATACCACCACTCTCTCCACCATCCATCATTTCATTGGGTGTTAATTTCTTCAGTGGTTATGGTTTTCCAAAGTATAATTGGACTTCAATATACTTCTCCAGTGAATCTTTTCTTTTGACTGCTTGCAATTGCACCGAACAGCAAAGAATAATCGAATTGAATAAAAAGTTCAAAATCATGCATGATAAGTGATCATTTTGATAAAAGTTCTTCGAATTATTAAACAATCCACTCAACAACAATATTTTAAGATCAATTATAAATCCATAGTTGTTGGAGGCAGGAGCGGGTTCGGAGATGGATTGGTTCGGGGAACGCCGAACCGCCATAGGATGGAATCTCTATGGGGTTAGGATCAGCACCCATACATTCAACAACTTAAAGAGCTAGATCCTAACATAATTGTGAGCGAGATCCCATGTCGCTGGGATAGAGGTTTTGACTTGGAGGGATCTGAGCTCTACTATACATAAAACGAGATAAATTAATAGTATATGATAAAATTGGGATCCAACCAATGACCGCTCAATCCATTATGACACACTTTAGCTTATTACCAATGCCATAGCTATCGTACTCCAATTTACTACAATAACATAATTTAATAATATCATAAACGGACTTACTATGATATTAAATTGTAGTTTTTTAACACAATAGTTCCATAGTTCTAGTTTACCACGATGTGATATTCACTAAAGTTTAACATATGCTAAAGAAATAAATTTATAATACCAAGGAGAGGACTAGTAGTTCAATTAATAGTATAGCTCCTCTCCTTGAAGAGATCCTACAGGCATGTACGCTGAGATCCATTTTATAGGGAGAGAGATCCTTATTTCTCTAAACCCAGCTCCCTCTAATATCCCTTATAGGAACCGTGGGATCGAGTTCCTAAGTTGGGACCGTGGCCTTGCTCCCAAGGTTCCTGCAACTATGCATCAATCCCTTTCTTTACAACTCAATGCAATGTGGACTTTTGCATGTTCTTTTATTCTTTTTGTGTTTTCTATCAAACAAATCACACTTCTTTTCCTTGTAGAGGAGAAGATCAACAACGGGGAATTTTATTTGTTGTTGAACTTCAAGGCATGGGTCATCTATGGAGGTTGTAAGGGTTCTTTCAAGGATTCAAAATGGACCGCCAACGCCTAGGCGCCCAAGTAAACACTGCACGCTCAAGCCTCGGTGGCCAGTTCTAAGCAGATGTACCTAGGCAAGCGCCCAGGGCCGCGGGCAGTTATCGAAAAAGGGGGTCATTTTGACCCCCAAGATAGTATAACTACATTATGGGGGCTATTTTTAAACCCCCAAAGTTAATAAAAAAAAAAAGAAAAAAAAAAAAGAAAAAAAAGAAAAAAAAAAAAGAAAACCTCAATCTCTTTGTTGTACCTATTTCTGATATCAAAAGTATTTTCTGAGAATTTAAAGTATTTTCTGTGGCTCAAAAAACTTCCCTATCAAACTAGTACTCTTACAAAGCCTATTAGGCTTTTAAATGTTTTGTATGGTTTGAAACTTTGAATTTTAAAATGTTGAACAAACATGTGATATGTCACATGTTTGTATATAAAATTGTGTATTACAATATTTTCAAATATAATAAATTACAAAATTGACACAAATATATGTATATATGTGGCGTTTGGACAGCAAAAATATGTATATATCTTAAAACTTTCTACTACAGAACACCCGAGGTTGTGGGCGCTGGGAGCTAGCCCGGCCACTTAGGGCCGTCTACCATTTTTTGAAACCTTGGGTTCTTTTGAGAACTTCATATGAAATTATTGGTAAACCCAAGACCGACACTTTCTAAGTACCGTTTCACAATCCATTTTCCTTTTTCAGTCTGATGCATACATAAGCTTGTGTTATAAGGTATTTTGCTTTAGACAAGAGATAATGCTGAAAGCCATAAAAGGTCCCTACACAAAATATGGCTCAGAAAATTTGATGGAAAGTTTCTAACTGATGATTAGAAATTTATGGAATTATTTTATGCTATCACAATAGTGAAATTTGTAGCACTAAAACAAAGTGCCAGGTGATAAAAAATTGCTAATATTAGAACACACCGAAGAAATGGTTGGAGTTTTATATTTTTAAAGAAAAGTTGTTTGGTTGCAAGAATTAAGACTAACCAACACAAGAAAAAGTAAGAAGCTCAAGACAATCAGCACTATATACTCTTAATCCCGAGATAAAAAATAGCATCATCATCATCATCCAAGCCTTATCCCAATTGATTTGAACCAGCTATATGCATCTTGTTGCTTCATTCTTCTCTATCAAGGGTCAATACGATCGATAATATAGGTTCAAGATTGATAAGCAGCGGCAAAATTTCATGCTGGCTGCCTACTTAATGCAACCCACTTCCTTTACCCAGGCTTGGAACGGGTTATGGTTAAGTTTAAGGTTCTCACCCTACTTCCTTTACCCAGGCTTGCAACGGGTTATGGTTAAGTTTAAGGTTCTCACCCTTCTTAGACCGATAAAAAGTAACAATGGGATGAGAAATAAGAGAATAACTAGTTTCTAAGGTAATCCCTTATCAACAGATAGAGAAAAAGAACATCGAAAAGACTAAGATGGAAAAGCATTAACTTGCCTGTTCCCATGGTCCTTCAGGAAGAAGAATGGGAGCTTTAGGAATATAGTTTGAAGCTGCTTCGGAGCTTGCACATACAACAAATGATCTTGAAGAAAGCCTAGAACTAACCCTGACCTGCAAAGAAAGCACCCAAAACCCAATTGAATCTATAACATTCGAATAACCCAGAAACAAACCAAACTTTTTTAGGGTTCCTGCAAAAAAGACTAGGTTGTCACCAAAATAAACAACAGAGGAAACTCTAATGGTGTTTCCGGAAGAAAAAAAAAACAGAAAGGACTAGTTTCTGATTTCTTTATCAAGGAAGTTAACCTTTGCGTGCTGTAATTCTGGAATTTTGATTGAGAAGTTCAGCTGAAAGGCAAGAGCCATTGCAATGCAACAGGGAGAGGGGGATCTAGAGAGAGAGAAAAATTAAAGATGTTCTGATCAGATGATACAAGCTTAAGATGTTGCCACAGAGAGAGAACACTCAAGATGCTTTGATTGTGTGTGTATGAGAGAGAGAGATTGTGTGTATGTGTGTGTAAGAGAGAGAGAGAGTTCACTATAAGATGTCTTGATTCAGAACATATAAGCTAGGTAGAGAGAAAGGGAGAGAGAGAGAGAGTTCACTATAAGATGTCTTGATTCAGAACATATAAGCTAGGTAGAGAGAGAGATGCTAGAGTGGAGAAGTGAGAGAATGCATCATGGCAGTAGCTTTTCACTGTGATTGAAAAGGGAGTAGTGGTTGTTTGAGTGCTTTGCAAAGTAATGCAGGAATAGATTTGTGATTAGAGAATAAGCTTCAGAGAACAAAACTGCGATATCATACTCTTGGGGTTATTATTCCTTTGCTCTCTGTCGATTCTTTCCGTCTCACTATTTTTCTGTGCTTTTGCTTGTTTTGTTTCTCTGCCGACTCTTCAAAGGGTGTGTAGGATCCATATCATAGCGACACGAGGAATAGTATCACCGTCCAGTAATGCATCCAACGGTGATGGAGATTACCCGGCTGCCCCTAACTTGGGTTCTTGGTAAGGTTTGGGCAAAGGGTGGGAATTAGGTCGGAGCCATTCTTTGGATCCTCTTGACTTGACCCACCGGGTCTAGGTCCGGCTTGGATCCTATAGCATTAGGTTAGGTCTGGCTCGAGGTCAACCCAACCCAACCTAACTCAAATAGATTAGTACATATTATGGATAGGGAAAGTATCTCCATCCGGTTATTTTTAGTTTTAATTTCTTGACTAACCTAAGGTTTTAAAAAGTATTTTCTAACCTCATGGTGGTCACTTTAAACTTATTTTTTAACCTAAATAAATGTAAACCCAATCATTTTTCTCCTCACTTCATTTTTCTCCTCACTTATATACTTTAAACTTCTCTTTTTCTCTTTTCTTTGATCTCTCACTCTCTCTCTCCTCCTATATTTCTCCAAACACCTATCTGTCCTCTCAAAAACCTTTCACCTCCATGAAGCCCATATCTCTCTCTCTCTCTCTAGAAGTTTGATAATATGGCTTTTAGAAAAGATACGTCTGTTGTAATCTATTTGACTTAAAAAATCAGGTTTAAATTAGCTCAGGGGGTTAGGAGAAATAAAATCTACAATTTTTATGCCTCAAGATATCTTTTAAAACATTGGATCTATTGTGAAATAAAACATAAAAATAAGGGGTATGGAAATATTTTCCCTTATATTTAACTAATACTAATTATAGTGTATATGGGATTGTATACAATGAGACTAATTATCTTAATTCTGAAGAGGTCATAATTACTTTGACTCATTAAATGTCATATTGGATAGCTTGATTTGGTTACGAAGTTTGAGAAATGTTTTTTAAAAAATTGTGAGTCTTTTCATTGACACTCTTACAGCCATCCAATTTGAAACCCAAAGGACAATAGTGATTGTGACCTCTTTATATAAAAAGTATGAGAAAAAGTTTATATAGAGTCGAGGCCATAAAGAATCAAATTAGGGCCTACCTCAAATATGTCACTAGAAGAGGTTCTTTTGATGCTTAAATATCTTCAAGTTAATCATCTCGACATCAAGATGCATGGGCATAAGAATAAAATGATCGCAAACTTTTAGAAATAGTGCATCTTGTAACGTATTTTTGGACTGTCAATTTTCAATATTTTCAAGTTTTCAGAGATTTGCTCGGTCTACAATATTTTTGAAGCTTTAAATTTTATAATTAACGATGAAAATATATTTTAAGGCTATCATAGAGATTTCCAATATTGAAACCACATTTCTCGACACTATTTGAAGCTGCCCTTTAGTATTTGAAGGTGCACTTTATTTTGATTGTTTAGAGCCTCAATCTCTTTGTATATTTTTCTATAGTATATTTTATATATTTTTTTATAGATTTTTTATTTTACAGACACGCACTCTTTACCAAGTGGATCGGGTTGGGGTCCAATTGACTTAGACCCAACCTGGGTCCAATCAAGTATGGGTCTAACTAAGACCTAGTCAGGTTGGGTCCATTTTAGGGTCGATTGGGACCTGACCGGATACATTCCCACCCCTAGGGGCTTCCACTTAGTAGTGGGCAGTGAAGACGATATGCCATATGCGCTATGTGTATTTAGATGGTACATAAACTAGCCGTGCAATGTCTGATTCAATTAAATTGCGGCTGCGATGAGTGGTTGGTCTTCCATGTCTGTCATTATTTGTCCCCATTGGTTTATGAGGATGAAGAGTTATGGGCCGCGACGTTTGCTTTAGACACTTTCATAGTTTTATACGATCCCTCTATTTTCTTGTTAACCCATTATATCTTGGTTTTGAGTAAAGGGGAAGCTTTATATGTTTGCTATCAGCAATCCGATTTCAGCAAATAGCTGGGATGGCTTGAGTCATAATGGCGCAAGTTAGATCTTGAGCATTAGATCTTGATCTAATAGCTTAGAGTGTTTTATTTTTAATTTTGTTGCATAATCATTTTGCAGGAAAATTTAGGGAGTGCACATGTCTAACAGAGGTACACGTGATAAAATAATAATAAAATATTTATGATGATGGGAATTACTAGAATACCCTTGAAAGTTGCAAGGGTTGCTTTGTCCCAACCAGAAGATGGAACATCCCAAATTTTCACTCGAAATGTTACGTACAAAAAGATTTGTACTATACTAGTTTTTCTTCGTATCAAAAGATGAAAGTTATGGCTCAAAATGTCTCTTGAGACAACGAGTATTTTATTGAAAGATCGAGTTATTACTGAACAACAAGGAATTGGCAAAGGATAAGATAGATTCAGAAGCACCCCTTTAGCAGATAGAAAACTAATTATGGACATTCCGATCTAGCTCTACTCTACGGATATATCGAGGCAAGATTAAGGTTTCAGTCCTTAGACTTATGTTACCATCGAGGAGCTGTATGAAGCCGATGTATCATGTACGGTTCTGGAATATAGATGATAACATCATTGTTATCATCAACTATGATTATCTAACAGGCAATGATTTCATGCAACCGTTGTATAGTAATATGATGCAACAACTTTAAAAACCATCTTATGAATATTTGGTTGACCCAAAATTTGAAGTATAATCTCTTTTCATTCTATTGAACAATCACAAAAAAAGAGTCCTTAGACTTATGTTACCATCGAGGAGCCGTATGAAGCCGAGGTATCATGTACGGTTCTGGAATAGAGATGATAACATCATTGTTATCATCGACTATGATTATCTAACGGGCAATGATTTCATGCAACCGTTGTAGAGTAATATGATGCAACAACCTTAAAACCATCTTACGGATATTTGGTTGATCCAAAATTTGAAGTATACACTCTTTTCATTCTATTAAACAATCACAAAAAAAGAAAAAATTGAAAACATAACCTATAAAATAATTTTTTAGCCCAATTAACATAGGCCATTTATTTTGGTGAGTTGCTTAGATCTAAGCCTTAGAAGGATTTTTTCATTTCCAACTTTTTGGATAGCTTTAATATCATTAGATGTTAAAAGAGAAAAAAAAAAGATTTGGAATTTATAAAGGCTAAGATCTTGAAATTCACAAAATGAATGGTCTAGATTCATTTTTGGATGGGACTCATTTAGCCCATATCTAAGGTCCAAATTGAACTTTTTTTTTGGGGGGATTGATTATTGAGATGAAAAAAGTGTGTGCAAAATTTGGGGTCATACAAATACCACAAACATGGTTTTCTAGAAGTATCGTTGCATTATATTATGATACAACCGTCGCATTAGATCATTGCTCTTATCTAATAGTTCAAGTACGGTTGATATCGTAGAGGCACAATATAAATATGGTTTTTGGGGGTAGAATCTGTGGCGTCTCTCAACCTTCCATTCAGATCAGACGGCTGGGAAAGTGGGGTCATATATACTTTATATGTACGTGGCACCGCATGTAAAGCTTGCTTGTGGGTAAAAGGTACTAGAGTGAAATCATCTATGGGAGAAACATGACAGCCTGATGAGGTGGATCACTGGATGATAGCGTGATCCAAAGAGTCACCAAAATTGGTGCTCCACCTACTTGAGTAATTGGCGTAGACCCAGTAGCTCGAAACTAGGGTTTACCAAAAAAGAAGATAAGGAAGATCCAAAATTAGACAAAGATGCAAAACCCAAAGATAAAAAAAATGAGTACTTGCTGCTTTAGGCTTTGAATAAAAGTTCGTAGTATGATCATCCATTATGCTTGAGTACATCCCAATATATAAAAAAACCTAAACAAGACTTAATCATGGCCATCCACATAATATAACCATAGCTTTTAATAAAACTATTAGATAATGTAGATAATGTCACAATTTATTATATAATTAAAAAATAGAGAAAATATCTCATTATCCTCTATTTTTTACTTCTATATCTCATAAGACCCAATTCTTGAAAATATTTCTTGCAAGGAAAAGGTCTTCACTTTTTCTATCTTACAACCTCTTCGATCCCTTTGACCATGAATTTTTTACCCAAAAAAACACTAAAATGACACCCTCTCCAATTGTTTTTATTTTCCGTTAACGTTTTCTCACTTTCAAATCACCATCTTTCTCTCAACTCTATATCTCTCTCTCTAAAACTCAAATTTGCAGAGAAGTTCCCTCTCTACATTGTTTCTCTCTCCTCACTTTAAAAATTTTCCTCTCTTCTTTATTATAAAAAGCTTCAAGTGAATAAAAGACACAAAAAACTCTAGAAATTACTACTTATGCTCCTAGGTAAATAAAAAGACCCAAGAAATAAATAAAAGACAAAAAAAATAGACTCAATGACTAATTTGTCATTTTATGATTCCTCATGTAAACTTTAAGCTTATCTCTTTTATGAAGATATTCGAGAGCAGTATTCTGGGATGCATCACTCCCCTCTTCCTTAAATGATTTTGCCCTCGAATTCGGCAGATCGTCGTCGGATGCATCACCATGATATAGTATAAGATGCTTGACATTAAGAACATTAGAAGTGCGAATATGCATAGGAAACTTCAATTTGTAGGCATTGTCACTAGTCTTATGCACCAATTCACATAGTCTAATCTTGCACTGGCTCAACTTTTGATATTCCCTAGTTGAAAATTTATCCTTAGTCATGATTGCGTACTCAAAACTCCAACATAAAAGATCTTAGGCTAACGATGCTTGTCAGCGGCTTCCTTATATTTAGCATTATACTCTAAGAGTATGTGAAAGTATAGTTCCAATGAATTATCTTTAACAGACAGTTCCGATGAATTATCGTCAACAGAAAGCTACAATCACATGTTTTGAACCAAATAAAACATCAAATACATCACAACGTCTCAATAAAACATTCGACACTGCTTGATCATGAGACTCCTTCATGGAAATCTTGGCAAATACATAAAAAATCAGTAAAGGAGAGTAAGTTTTTTAATAAAAAGCTTCATTCTGCCAT